TACCAATTGCACCTTCAGGGAGCTGTGAATGGGGCATTTTGTGTCGTGCAATTTGCTTGCTCAGATGGTGCCTCAGTGAGAACAGAACACGCGCACAATCCAAGAGTGATGCGCGTCAACTTCTCACCAAAGAGGTGCGCTGGCACCGACACTTTGAGGGCCCACTCTGAAGGCTCTTGCTCACCAATTGGCTTGTTCAGAAGCTCACTGGGTAGCTTTGATAGGGGCATTTGCCGTAGTCAAGACAGTTGTACTAGAACAACAGCCAGCAAGCGGTGACAAGCGCTCAAAGGTTGGCATATGCAGGGACAACAGGCGCGTCAGTCTTGTTGTGCGGGTGTGGCTGCACCACTATACGTGCTATCTGTGCCTCGGCAGTAACTCGTACCGCGCGTGCTGCTCACAGCCCCTCACTGTCCCTGGCACCAACACTTTGACCTGCTGGTGTACGGTGAGCATGCTGCCAAATGAGCTACAAAGGGCACCATCAGGAAGGTGTAGTAGGGGCATTTGATGTAGTCAAATTACATCTGCCAGAACAAGGACCTGCAAGCGGTGACAAGACCTCCAAGATGGGCCTGTGCAAGGACAATGAGCGTGCTGGTGCTGACATGCATGTGTGGCCGCACCACGCACCACTATACGCGTCAAGTCCTCTTGTCTCCTACTACAGACAAGACATCGGCTTGTTACACGTAGCAAAGGGCCTTCTTTGCGCCAGTGACACTTGTTCCACCATGCACAAGAGCTACACTTGGCTTGCTGTGCATCAACAAGGCAAGTACCGCTCATGATGGGCGCACAACTTGCCCTGTAGCACGCTCCAAAGCTATAAAGATGGGACTTGAGATGCTCTCAGGCCCAACTCTCATCGTCAATCACTCACTCAAACACTCACTGCTCAACACACAGCACCATCTCTTGCCCAAACCGCCCTTCCCCTTGACAAATTTCAACATGTCCACCGCAACCATTCCCACCACTGAGCAGCGCGCTCAAGCCCTTGCCCTGCAGTACCCATATCTCCCTCAATGGCAAGTCATTGTTTGCCTGCACTGCGCAAGCTGTGTCCGTCCAGGCAAGGATGCCATTACTCGACACCTGTACAAGCACAGCGTGACCGGGCCAGAATTGACAGTGCTTGTCAGCCTGCTGGCTGATTACAAGGTGCTTGGCCCTCAAGCGCCACGCACAGAGTGGCCCACAGCCCTCATCAAGGAGCTAGCTGTCCATGAGGGCTACCAGTGCACTTTTGGATGCACAGATGCCTTTAGGACACTCGACAAGGTCAAGCAGCACATTGCTCATGTGCACACATCAGAGTCAGCCAGATCAGCTGATGCACCGCTTTGGAGACAGTGCACAGTGCAGACCTTTTATTCTGACAATCAAGCAGTGCACTACTTTGCTGTAGCGCTGCCTCCCATGCCTGGTCCAACTCAGTCACAGTCACAAGATGTCCCCCTGGCTGAGGAGGCCTTCTTTGCTGCGCTCCAAGCAGACAAGCAGCAGGCTGAGCATGATGCTCAGGAGCATGCCCAGCGCATCCATGGCTTTGGTGAGCATCACTCTGGTGCGGTGCCATGGCTACAGAACACTGGCATCAAGAAGCATGTGCGTGGACTACACAAGCAGGAAATCCAGGCTTCCTTTGCGCTTCCCACAAGCAAGGCAGAAGCGCAGCTGGAGCGCATCCTGGCTGCCCTGGAGTGGGTGCTGCGTGACACGCACACACAGTGCATCAGCGAGTGGTCTTCCAAACTGACTTGGCAGCGCAAGCTGGCACTCAGCCACTTCCGCACAGTGGAAGTTGCTGGCACTGTCCACCGTGCTTGGGATCCTGTCAAGATGCCTGACACGCTCACAGACTACATCCGACACTGGAAGCAGCTTGTTACGTACTACTTCCGCATTGCGCATGAGGAGAAAGCGCACTTCAGCGCTGGCAGTGGAGACCACACCACGCCAGATGAGCTGGTTCAGCCCACTGAGGAGCA